TTGTATTATTTATAATTATTAGGGTAGTTAGTTGCCTAGTTAATTACATTTTGATATACCTCTTCGTAAGTAAATAAATTATTTTCCTCCAAATGGGCAATTATATGATAGTTCTATTTTTACTCTTTCGCATATTACTTACACAGTGTAGAGAAAGTTAGGAAATGCTGCAGACAAAAACGGTGATTTTTCTGGAACTTATAGTCGTATTGTAGGTCCCTGATATCGAAAAGAAAAGGATGATTCATTTTTTTAATTCTAGTAAATTACTTTTCTTCCAACAAATTGTGTATAATCCACGTTTAGTGGGTACTTTATATTTTGGTTTACGACAAAAAGTTTGCCCGTCCGTCTGTGAACAACGCTAGCGACTACAGCGACTACTAGCGACATTTTCTTCAAAACTCATATTTCTCTATCAATCTCGGAGTGAACGGCCCTGTGAATTAGAATCATATTTGGTTTTTGAAATTACTTTACATGAAGTCCTATAGACATGTTCAAATGTTTCTTAAAATGCCTTCAAAATGTTTTCTTTAGTTATTGTCCTCAGAAAAAACAAAGTACGCTTATAAAAATAGCGGAGCTTCCATTTTCATTGAATTCTACCATTGATTCAAAAAATTCAAAATTTCCCCCTAATCTTGCTTTAAGTACAATATAGAACATAGAGTTTTTTGTTAACGAATCTGTTCATCAAATTCAGGTGTGTAAATGAGATCTTCTAAGATGTTTTCAAAGTATGAGTAGTCTTCGCTTAATTTTGCGTAAAATAAAGGCAAGTTTAAAAAAAACATTTTCTTAAAAAGGGATCGAATTTTTTTTAACTTTTCGAATGGGTAGAGCTAAGTGTACTAAATAACATGACATAAACGTTATTTAGATGCAGTATTTTCATTTTTTAAGTACAGAAATATTTCATATTTTAATATTAATTAACCGTTACACATAATGCGAGGAAGTACGTACATCACTAGTTTATTTATTTTCAAACCCCGATTTTGTTCCAGGGGTGGCTTTTTGAAATTGCAAATTGTTGTATTTGTCAGATACTTAGACACAGAAATGGCTTATCTGTATTCTACCCCTTGAACGTCAAAAAGGTAGAGAGAGGATCCTGTTACATTATTGTAATGTCAATATTAATAGTCTGCACTGCTCGAGGGAATCGTGAAACGATTTTAGGGAGACCCTGACGAAAGCTCCAAGTGAAAGTTTGAGTTATTTCAGATTGTTGACACTGGTTGCTACTTGCCATGGAGAAATCCAGTTTAGTTCATCCCATATATGTTACTGTCGTTTAGGTACACTGCGTTCTCGAATTTCAACAGCATGTGTATCGCAAGTACGATCCTCTCTCTTCCCAGAAATCTTCACATATCTATGAATTTGACACCCAGGGCTAACCACCTTGGGGGATAAAAATCGAGATTCAGCTAAAATGCTGATATCTCCTCACTTCCATCTCTAGAAAAGCACTTGCACCTGATGAAGCAGGATGCACGCGTGATCTGAGTTGGCCTACATGAGAAAAAATCTAAATCTTTGTTTTACGTCCATATCTCAAATATTCAATGGAATATTTTTTTCAAAACGTTTAACAATACGTTGCCTGTATACTGTCTGTAATTTATTTAAAAGAATCGCAAATCAATCCAAAACTTTGAGAAAGACTGCCATCATGCAAAAATTAGATAATATTATTGCATTATTTTGCCATGTTGAAATAGATTTTATAGGATAACATTTCATTTAAGATATAGCTTGATTTACAGATTGTAATACTTTTCTTTGATAATCCTCGGATCTTAGGATACGATCTTGCGGTTGTTAATCAATTTTGTACCTGCGTCTCATATGATGAAATGAGAAAGGTATAGAGGGGCATACAGGAAGGAGAGGAATTTGCAGTTAGAAGATGGGTGTGACTGACATTACAATGTACAGTACTTATTCGCGTTATGATCACCTGTTGTTTTTAGGAAAAAACTCGTGTAGGATTTCAGAATGCAGAAACTAACAATGTTTTGTGCAGATAGGTAGAGTTCTTATTCTTGCAGAAGGTTTATTATGTAATTTTGAGACATCTCGTTGCAATTTCATATTCGGGTAAATAAGTTCTTATTAGATTATATGACATAGCACTGTTCATTAAAGTTGACTATCACTCAAACCACCTTCGAGATATTATTTATTGCTTCAAAAGATTGCTTCAATAATTCTACTGCCGTCAATATGGAGCAAAGTTATAATAGCGTATTTGTAAATCCTTCCCTCTTGCAATTTCCCACGCACCATTAGTCTTGTAATACTGGATAAATGTGTCTTAAATACTTGTATAAATAACAAAAATTGAAGGAAGTGATTAAAAATACCTGAAGATTTGAAAAGAGACCTTAACTCACCCAAAATTCTTAAAATATTACATCATTACTAAATTAATTGATTAATTCAGAGCAAGTCAACGGCTAAGATCATTATTCCCGTACGTGTAGCGCATGTTTTTCTCTGGAAGTGGCTGTGATGTTCCCCCTGGACGGCGCTGACCTACCGTCGGCTACAGGGGTTTTCCGCAACCAGGTACCTCCCACCAGCAAGGCACCGTCCCAGCCGGGACAAGATCTAAGCTCCCGACCGGTCTCCCGGCAAGTGTGGTAGTGTGGTGTATGTAAGTTGTGTGTAAGAGGTAGGATTGGACACGGAAAGGGAAGTTCTAAGTTCGCGCGTTTTTTAGAGTACTGCTCCGGCATTTGCCTCGTATTGATCGGAAAATAACAGAAAACAACCGATCAGAGCAGCCGGCCGCTAGAATTTTCCTCCGGACTGCGACAGAACTCGGCCTGTGTCGAAAATGTTGTCACCGTCGGGACTCAAACCATAGAACCTCCCAGGCAGAGGCACTGCAGTGACATCAGTTGATGCCCTGAGCTACCTCTCCCGGTCAGCGGGCTTGGAAGCGCAGCGCTGGCGGAAGAATGTGCACGCCGTTACGCCACAGCGGCTTCAAGCGATGTAGTCAGCCGTACAGTAGCGTCCATTCCGCACGCTGCTGTAAGCACAAATTGGGCCACACGCCGCAAATAGAGAAAGCCTACACTATTGCCTCATGACTATTCAGAGCGTGTGTCACTGTGTTATTCCTATTGCAAATGGGTAGAACAGACAGATTTACGTACGAAAATGTTTATTCACATTCCGGAGTTGTATTAATAGTAGGGCACGGATCATCACGAAAACAAAAGCGTCATAAACACAATGCCTGTCTGCTACGTTCGACAGGACGAATCTCTTTTTATTATGTTAATTTCTCTCTCAAAAGCCTTTCAGAAATAACTTTATCCCGGAACACAACGGATCCGACAGATAGGAATGAAGCCAAACTTTCGTCATTGACATAAAGTAAAGCAGTTTTTCAATTACATGCACTCTTTACAGAACGCTCGACATACATGTTAGTGATATGGCAGTTTCGCCTTTTAAACGGCTTTTCAGATGTCAACAAACCAGTTTGTATGTCTTAACAGTGGTCTTATAATGTTACAACATTGTATGTGCACTCACAGTCAATGTTAATGTTCTGTTAATATCATTTTTGGGTACCTCTTGTTCACATCTACCTAGTGTACAAAGGATGTTTGTCCATATGAGAGGAATCATACTTTCTCTCAGAAAGCAAACTTTGTCGCTCCATTACAATCTGCTCTTTTTTTAGTTTCTTGCTCTTACACAGCAAGAAGAGAAAGTTATGTAATTGTGCACTGGAAAACAGGGCATTTTTGGCAGAAAAACAATTGTCAAGCCCTGGTAACAATAAAGAGGATAAATGATGTTCCGGTATATAGTAAATTACTTTCTCTTACAAGTATTATAGCCAAAATTCATGATTTCTGGGTCCTTAATATCGAAAAATCGATTGATGGAAAAACGTCTGCCTGTCTGCTAGTGGTCAATGCTAGAGCCTAAACCGTTCAGCCAATTTTGACCAAAATTGATAGTCCCCGATCGATGTGTACGAAATCAAAGCTTCAAGAGTTTCAACCGGATATTTTCACTTTCGAGGGTACTTTACATGAAGCTTCAAAAACATAATTTTTCTGAAAACTGGTTCCAACGTTTTTGATTAAACTTTGTCCTCGGATAGCATAATGAACGATTAAGAGAATTGTGGAGGTCTCGTGCTGGTTGAAAGTGATGGTTTTTCGAAAATTGCAAAAGTTCAATTTTTTTGTGGGTGTCTTCCTACAACCATAATATGAAAGATAGAGTTTTTCCCTTAATGAAATATGTTCATGAAAGACATCTTAATATAGTCATGGTCAATTTTTCTTTTCGAGTTCGTTCAGATCAATCGGGGAACTTCAACTTGGAAGAAAATGAGCTGAACGGTTTAGGCGCTAGGGTTGACCACAGACGGACAGACAGATGTTTGGTCGTCAAACGATTTTCTGTACCAAGCATTTCTTTATCACAAAACATGGGTTCTGGTTACACCATATGTTAGAGAAAGTAATTCACTATATTCAAAAATAGGATTTATGCAGTTTTTCGTTACAAAGACCCGACAATAATATATTTATATCCTGTTATGTACTCTTTTGTTTAAGCACTGTTTTTTTATTACCGATGAAAATACTATGTTATGTACTTATAAGTAGACGCTAATAACTAAAGATGATGATGCAACTTAAAATAAAAGGAAAAAAGGCTCGAAAATAATAGTTGTCTGTCGAAAAATCACCGTTTTCTGGCGCATGATTGCAATACTTTCTCTTCTTACATTTGCAAGGCAAGAAAGTAAAAAAATGTATGTTTACAGGAACTAAAAGCATTCACATTATTTCCCATATACAATGATATAACACAAAATACATTAATTAACATACTAAAAACCAATTGAATGAGTGTGACCTATGTTATATTTAACCATGTCTCTATTTTATATGTTCATGTGTTATTATTATTATTATTATTATTATTGCTGTTGTTATGACGTGTTGCAGCGCGGGTGTTCAAGGGCTGCCGGAAGCGAAGTCCGACCTTCGACTCCTGCGTCATGAAGGGGCTCAACTCCATCCAGCACCTCTTCAAGCGAGGTGAGCGCCACTCCGTCTTCCACTCAGATTCGATTCCCCTCCTCTCCCCTCCTCGCCGATCCTCTTCGTGACATAGCACTACGCGACGTGTCGTCCAAGTCCGGCGCCCCGGCGCTTCCGGCACTACCGTGGCCTTCTTCAGGTCTGACTAGGCGATACCATCAAATATGCTTTGCAGAAGTGGTGAAGGCCGGCATGTTAGGAAAGATTTGCGATGTTGCGTCCCCTGGGGGTCTGATTGTACTAAAGCGAATACGTCATTCCGACATCGCCATAAATCGTTATGCAATCGAATGAAACATTCTGCACTGTCCAACACAATGAGTTCCAGTTCCTATGCGAAAACATTGTTTTATTAGTAGACGTGATCAACTTAACTCGTAGAAGTAATCTCTCGTTGTCCAGGAGCTTCTTTATAACAATCATTTAACATTCAGGAAAAGGAACACTTACTAGCTAAATTTTATTTCCATACCAATTTCCTTCACCCCACCGTTATCACCTTTACCTGCAAAATCATAATCACCTTCTCTGTTAATAAAACCCTTTATACTTGTTATCTTTAATAAATTCTAGTAGTGGTAACTCGAACTTGAATCAATAACACATTATGAAAAAATCAATAACACAAATGAAAGTTAACACATTTTTACCCTCAATTCCTTGCATTAGAGTCGTCTCTAGTCCCCATAGAGTGAAATTACTTATTGACATAAATCATTATTATTGTGTCTCTTAGCGTCTAGTGGATATTAAACGTATGTGCACACATCGTAAACGCGATGGAACCGCCTTGGCCGAGTCTTGCACCGCAAACGCCCATGTATCTTTCGCCAGTGCAGCGAGATGTGAATAGGGAGAAACGTGCCAGTGTCTTTGCCGGTGTCGAGTGTCCTTGGATCTCCGCCTCCCGAGATGAGCTAACAGACGGCGCCGCGCCGCGCCGCACCGCCAGCCAATGTTTGCCCTCCTCCGGTGGCGACTCGCCCCGCTCAGAAGAGAGCGAGCACTTCCACGCCTCGATGTGAAGTGTCACAACATTGAGACAAGGAGCAATGGCAGCTTAGGGGGTCGTCCATAAATTACGTAACTCTTAACAGAGGGTAGGGGGTTTGAGACAGCGTTAAGCTCCGTTACATAGGGGTAGAATGTATTGGTTTAGTGTTACGTATCATTAATATTTATTTTACGTTTTTCAACATTTACTGAAATAATTCCTTTTTGAGTATTGTATTAAAACATTAACTACTTAATTTGTTAAAAAAATAATATACACATAAAACATGCACTACACTTACGGGGCATTGCGTTATCATTTATTGCCTCTGGAATCATTAATCAAACACAGGAAAACGTTTGAAAGATATTGTAGTCGAACAAAGATAAATATATGATTTAAAAAAATAATGATATGGAATGCAAGGCTGTCTAAAAACAGAGTATGACACACGTGGCGAAAGTGAATTTATTTTGCTCATAAGAAAGCGCCACTCGGACTATCGACCTCGTGACGCAACATTTCCTCCTCCCAAAATAAAATGTTACCACTCATAATAAATCATAAATAACTACTTTCTAACCTTGTCGAACAGCTATAGACATGTAATATTACGCCACCAAAAATGTTCACTTGTTCTCCATGTTTTCAACACTTACTAACAGCAACGCGTACTGTTGCTGTTAGCTAAACTTACTAACAGCAACGTAGAAACTCCTTGAAGGAATTCCGTGCGCAAAATGCTCGAGAGGCATCGCCCAGACTTTCGCGAAATGTCTCGTGAGCAGCCCGTGCTCGTGTCGCAGGGATACCGGAGTTGAATGTGGCGCCGTTCGACCCGCACCACGCGCTGGAGGTGCTGCAGCGCCGCGGCGGCCCCAGCCTCAACTACCGCCTCCGGCTGATCGACGTGGAGGAGTACGGCTGGTCGCGCTCATTTGTCGACCGCTTCAAGTGAGCCTCCATCTTTTATCCGTTTTGTATTAACAGACAGCGATATCTGATCATAGGAATGAACCGAATCACTTTTGTTTCTTTTGCCTCTTGATTCAAAACGTTGGTAACATTCATGTCTCGTTTATCTTTGGGTTTAATACACTTTTACTTGAGGAGAATTACAATGAATGTAGTCGAAACTTTGTCATGTAATTTGTAATAACACCCCGTTGTATACAATTTGTAAATATGTGTGTAATTAATTCCTTTGTGTAATTCCAGATGTTACAAAATTTAGTCTCCTAGTTAATGGTCATTAGTATCAAAGGATTTTAAGTTTAAACACAGACGTAAAATACTAGTTATAAACACGTTAATTCGTTTTTCATTGTTTAATGACAATCAAGCACATGACCCACCAAGAATATGCGAATGTAATCCATGGGTGTTCCCATAAGTTGGCAGTCCTAATTTAATTTGCGTCAAGCGTGGGTTAGGATGATATTGTTCCAAGCACTTCAAGTTTCTTGCTTTGTGATGATTCATTTTGCAACATCATGGGATTCAAAATTTATTTTTCTATTATGTCCAGAAAGTTGTGTTTAAAGTAAGTAAATGCGCTGAAGACATCTCAGTGCGGACGAAGAATAAAATCTATTTTTTAAACACAAATGAGCAAAAACGAAATTTTTTGAATTGGTGGTCTTGTCGCGTCGGATGTTATATGGTCAGAACCTTGTCCCGCCCTTCGCAAATGACGCTGTTGATCTCTCGAGCATTCAACAACGCTTCGAGCCTCAGGAATACGCAAAAAGTTTCGGTGTTATACAAACTGCTTCATAATTGGAAAATTACAAAATACACATTCTACGGTAATGTACGCGTTTGAGACAAAAGGCAAAGAAATTATTTATTGGTAGTATTAGGAGGAATACGCTGGTGTACTTTTTTCCGCATTAAATGACTTACCAGGTAACATTCAACTGTTTTGAGTTCCAACAGTTTCGGATTTCATTTTGACTCTTAAAGTAATATATGAGAAAATTAATACTTTCCACTGCGTTACTCAGATTCTTCTTCTACCAAGATACATCATAAACTAGTTTCATTTAATTCGTTTCATCATTCGAATCTGATAAAAATGCAAATTCTAAAGACCACTGCAGTAAAAATTGCTTTTCACGTCAACATTTTTGATGTACGCATAATGAACTGGGACACTTCCAACTTTCATCGTTTCGCTGGCAACATTGTTCTTCTTCCTCAACTTGTGTGTCTGTTCTATTGTGTTGCGTGTGCAGGTCGGATCTGGACAGCAACCGCATCGAGTATTCGCAGTACTTCCCTGAGAAGTGGTTGAAGGGCGAGTACGAAATGGACGGGCTCATGCTGCAATACCCCATGCACAACCGAGGCGTCTGGAACATCACTCTGTGTAAGTATAGTTTACTCGCTTTTACTGCTACGGTGTAAAATAAGGGCTAAGTAGGGAGGAGTTCATTTGATTAAAACTGAAGTACTCGAGCGGGATAGATATGTAATGAAACACTGGAGAGACAATACGTTACCCTGAATTGAAACGGGAGACACTTGATGCTAGCACCCCTAGTGGCCCGACCTGTCATAACATTGTAATATGTAGTACAAAGTGTATAAGATTGTAATTTTTAGTTACTTCCGATTACGTTTTCATACGTTTTGCAGAATTATTAAAATATTAACAACCGAACGAAAATAACTTTTTTATAGGACTTTGAAGGTGTGAGCTGTATTACGTTGCACAAATTATTAAATTTAGTATAATCGTTTTTCCGGTTCTCTCGTTATAAGAAGTGGTAAGTCACGAAATCTGTAAGTCCTTGCAGACTTCCTGTTGTAAGTGCTTTATTAGGTAAATATTTATCATTCTCCAATTAAATGCAGATATTTGATAATTATCAAATTACTGTTTTGTATTGCTTGTAGTATTGTATATTTGCATTTACATTCCAAAAATAAAATTAAATAAAGATTAAAAATATAATATTAATAATAATAACAATAATATTGAAAATAATAGGTTTATTAGTACTCGAAAAGGTTTTGTTTATGTTCTGAAAATATCAATTAATCGCCGATATCGTCTCGTCACTAGGTTTTGCTAGTGAGCAGTTGCCTCTCATAAATAATACGAGAAAGGTCCAAAGTTCTGTATGGTCTGTGTAGTATTTGATGTAACCGAGACATTTTAGTTTCCCAAGTCCACGTGATGTGGCACCTTCAGAAGCTGGCTGGCTTCAGAGTATTCCTCAGCAGGGCGCCACTTGGTGGGCTGTGGTGCTGAGAGTGAAGAATCCCTTTATTACTTCGATTGAAGACACAGAGAGAGAGAGAGAGAGAGAGAGGAGAGAGGGAAGGATAGATAGAGAGATTAAATAGTATAAATCGAAGAAACATAATAAACCTATGTGTCTGATCGAAAATATTTATACTCATGTTTTAAAAAAACATCAAGTTTTTTGCGATCTCTATTGTAGCGCCATACGGGTGTAATCGAACACAGACGAGAGTGGTTTGTAAAACATTAGATTTATTAACAATCTAGACCGTAGTCTCAATTTAACAACTACCCTGCTCACAATAAACTAAATAAATAGACCCACTACAAGGAGAGATAATTTAAGAACGGCTACCACTCCGCAACATACCACCGATGTTCCCTGTATTAAGCCGCTCTACTTTGAGACCATCTACGCGTCTCGCAAGTCACGACAATGAATTGCCGGTCCCTCGCCCTAGTGCACCTACACGCACAGACACGCGCTTCACCTGTCGCCGACGCCGCTAGCACAAGAAGACTGGGGCATTGTTCTCCTGGCATTATATACGCCCTTTTGGCTCTACCCGCCGCCCCCATTGCCTCCTCCCCAAAGTCGCTCTGGGCCCGCTACGGCCACGGAAAGTCCCAGTGCGTCATCACTCCGCGCTTTGTTTAACATCCGGCGGTTTGAGCGTGGCACAACGCTACACTATTGGTGTTGACGAGCGTTGCTGTTTCAGACGACTACAACCAGACGACGGTGATCTTCCGGAGGCCCGTGGTGCGGGCGGACGGTTCCACCGACTACAAGACGGGCCCTCTACGCGTTCAGGTGAAGGTGACGCACATCGGCAACATGGACCTGCACGTCTCCAACCTGCTGCGCGGGCGCACCGTCATGGGTGAGCACGCACACGCACTTAAGCACACGCACAAACTCACACACACACATCAACTCACATATACACATCAACTCACACATACACATCAACTCACACATACACGTCAACTCACACACACACATCTACTCACACACACATCAACTCACACACGCACATCAACTCACACACGCACATCAACTCACACACACACACATCAACTCACACACACACATCAACTCACACACACATCTACTCACACACACATCAACTCACACACACATCAACTCACACACACATCAACTCACACACACATCAATTCACACACACATCAACTCACACACACACATCAACTCACGCGCGCTCACAAACTCACGTGCACACACAAACTCACGCGCACACTCAAACTCACGAGCTACTTCACTCCCATGTCCCAGGCACAGGTCCAACGTTGCGGCCGCCATTCTGCAACCTTTCTCAGGGCAAAATGCACGTATATGCTTCCTCAGGACTTTTCGCCCTGAGAAAGGTCTCAGAATGGCGGCCGAAAAGTTCGCAGCTGTGCCTAGGAGGCAGCGTCTCCCGGAGAGCTAAGTAGTTACTGAGTCTGGCTGCGGAAGCCTTCGCCTTCTGACAAACTCACGCACACAAACTCTCGGACAAACACAAACTTACCGACCGTCATATGTTTTGCAGCCTAACACAAGTTGTGGATTTCACGTGCGCTTACTGATTTCTTTGCAACAAATTATGAAATTCTAAATATTTTTTTTACATCTGTTTGATGAACACCTGGAAGATGAGAATTGTCTGCCCTGAAAAGTATACTTGTAGGGTCTTTCGGGTTCGATGAAATTTTGTAAGTCGTAACAAACTGTTATTGGAACAATGCAGGAAGATTCATACTACTATCATTACTATGTTTACAAATAATACTGTTTTACAATTATTAATTTATTATTATTATTATTGACGAGTAGGCCATTACTGACCACGCTACACGATTAACATGAGTTCAAGTGTCAGGTTTTCAGCAGATCAACAGCTGATCAGATTTTCAACAAATAATGTACTTCAGCTTCTGGGTCAATAACCCCCATCTCGATTAGGTTTCTGTCTAGTTTTCCTGATCCATTAAGCAAATGCTGAGATGGCCCCTTGTTTTGCTTCTGGAGGTAAATGTAGCTTCACTATACGCACATTTTGTTGGCTTCCGTTTTTGCTTGTAATGGTAAGAGTAGAAGTAAAGGCGAGTTATTATTACTATTATTATTATTATTATTATTATTATTATTATTATTATTGTTGTTGTTGGTTAATGTTGGCTCCCCTGTGTGCGCAGAGGGGCTGCTGGATCGCACCATAAACGCGGGGGCGTGGCGCGCCGGACTGCCGGTCTTCCTGCCGCTCGTCAACGACCTCGTCTCCACCGCCTTCACCACCATCTTCAACACCAGCTTCCGCCACTTCCCCTTCGACGACATCTTCCCCGACTGAGCGCCCGCCGCCGGCACCAGGGCACTAGTGGAAGAAGTGTGCGATGGACTACCAGGGCGCTATGCCTTCTCCTACTAGTACTTGAAGAAGAAGAAGTGTGTGATGAATTGTCAGGGTGCTACTCTCCGGCCTTGCTACTATGGCGGAGGCAAAACTCCGAAGTTTTTGCGAATAGTGTTAGAGGAAAGCACTGTCGTGCGACAGTACAGCTCCAAGCGTCCATAATGAAACTTCTTCAATCACACATATCGACTATATAAATCGAAAGGATATTATCGACTATATAATATCGACTTATTCAACTATATAAAACTAAAGGATTTATATCGACTTACACATGATCGAAAGTTCCACCATTCGCGGGAACCGCGGAAACTTTGAAAATAGCTAACTGCTTAATGTTGGAATAAATTCCCTTTAATACATAATTGCGAGCCATTCGGTTAATGGGACATGAGTAAATTAATGATGGTTTGGAGAGTGATTTTAATTTTTAATTTAATTTGAATTTGTCATTCTTATTTCCGATTAGTCAAGGTCATTAAATATGTATTAAATCAATATTGCAGGTGTTAATAATGTCAATGAATAACTAAAATTACTTTGCTTCTTGCGTCTCATTTGTCATTACTAAAATATTGCTGTTCAAATATGAAATAAGTAATTTATTCCAAATTTAATATTGCTGTTTCAAATTACTGATATTCTTTGCATGTTTTCTGCATAATTTTCTTTTACAAGAGAGTTTATAAAGCAGTGTACAAATGAAGTCTCTGTCGTTAACACAATAAAACACTTAAAAACCAAAATAAATGTCACAACACCATTAAATAACCACAATTCTGTTTCATTATGAAAGTCTAAGCGCCTCGACTGGGCAGCCTCCTGCCGCCTCCCTCAGCCGCTTCCCGTGCTCGTTTGGCGCAGAACCCCCTCGGCCGGTTTCTGAACAGACTGCCTCCGCCTTCGTCAAAGCGAGCTCACTGCCTCTGCGACTCTCCAGCTCCTGCTCTGAGCTCTCTGCTGCTGACTGATCGTTGCGGACTCCCTGCGACTGACTGCCCTCCCAGCGCTTGCGGTCTCCTTCTGTGCTAGTGGCCATGACACCTCGGTGACTCTCTTATGACTCAGTGAGTGACAGGCGTAGCTTATTGATTAATTGTTAATGATTCTGGGCGCGTCGACTAATAAGGTCATTACTTCCGTAAGTGTACGGAATGATTTTTCCCTCGGAAGGTGGCGATGACCTTGCTCCGCTAGATGCCCGACCGATAGTCGGCTAGCGGGTTTCCCAACCAGGTATCTCCCACCACTCGGGTACTGCCCCAGCTGCGACAAACTATAAGCTCCACAGCGATCTCCCGGAATATGTGGTAGTGTACTGCATGCTAGTATGTGTGTGCGTGTGTATAAAGGGTGAGGATAGGACAAGGAAGAGGAAGGAAAGATCGCGCAAGGTCCGTGGCCCGTTTGTTAGGGTACTGCACCGGCATTCGCCTGGTGTTAATCGGAGAAACCACGGAAATCTTTCGATCAGAGCACCCGGCCGCTAGAATTCTCTTCCAGACAGTGACTGAACTCGACATAGCTGACAAGAGTGTCGAAAATCCTGCCATCATCGCGACTCGAACCTAGGACCTCCCGACCAGAGGCACTGCAGTGTCATCAGTTGCCCTAAGCCACCTCTCCCGATTCGCATGGCTTCTTGGACTCGTCTGCTCGCAGCAAGTGCCTCCGACGACTGAGGCAATGCAATGCAGG